CCCCTATGTCTAAGAGAAACAAATTTAATGAACATGTATGACCACTGTACAGAAAACTGCCATATGATAGGAATATTTACACTGTGCGCATACAGTTATTATTTTTATTTTCCTAATCCCTGACTGATCAGTTTTAATCTAGCGTGTATTATAGTATAAATTAAATTCATCATCCAGCTGCTGCTATGCAGAATTCTCTCCCCAAGAGCTGAATCACGCCATCTAGCGGAAAATCCCGCGGCTTTTTCAAATCACGCGAGAATGTGTACAAAACAACAAAGATGGCGCCGGCAACGCTTGTGGGTCGTTTTCAGCAAATGTCGGTGATTTTAAAGTAATTTTGAGTGATAAATAAATTTTTTTTTGCGATCATTGCACTTGCCCGGCGGGCACATGCAATGAAATTTGTACTCTCCTGACAATAAAAACTACTTGCCCTGGGCGATCGGGCAATGGTTAACATCGAGCCCTGAGAACCCGTCCCTACTTTGGACCCAGGTCTTCATCTCAACGTGAACAATGACTAATCATGGACTATAGAACAAAGGAAGCTGGATCAGATAAATACAAATCAATGTAGCTTTATCTGTCCTCTTGGGACAATATCAAGGTGTGGTAAATTAGCACAGTGATTTTAAAGACAACTGACATTCAGTTGGAGACTGAAATGATTGGCAGTTAGATTCATAGATGATCACTAAATCATAAACAAATGTCTTGTAAGTTATAAAGGTTACATTTTATTAGAAAACAGAGTACTGCCACTTTACAGACTGGTCAGAGGCTAAAGACATTAGTACCAAGTAAACTACCCAGGTACTACTAATTAACTTTAATTTTAACCTTTAAAATATCAGTGGCTGTCTTCAATTTCCAGTTTTTAACCGGAAGACTTGTGTAACTGGTGTATATGCATTATTTCTGCACAACAGTCTTATCACATTCAGGGATGCTACAGAAGCAAGAGGATCACTAACAAATGTTCTTGCTTCATTTCCAAAAAAAAACTGGCTTTTTGAGCCAGCAGCCCTCATTCTGCTCTGACTAAGCCCTCTGTTGTTCTGAATCCAGCTAAAATTAGCTCCTTGTGTTGATGTTAAGAAGCGAGAGGCTTAAAAGTCGAGCCACCATCTCGTACCGACAGATCAACCATCTGTCACAGTTAAGAGTTTGGCTATATGCTTTCACCTCGTGCATGTTGCGTCATTTCCACTCAGGTTTGAGCAACGCAACTGTGTGGGAAGTCCCCCTCTTTTCCAGCTCCCCCCTGATTTAATCTTGGAGGAAAAGCTCTGATAAAAAAAAGAAACTTTCTAACATCTGGTCCTCGTTTGGTTGGGGGAGGATGTTCCAGCAACAGAGAGTGTGAGAGACAGGAAGAAGGGAGATGCTTTCTCAAAGCACTGGCCAACCCAAAGGTACTCGAGGGGGTTGGGATGGGTGAGGACAAAAGCTCAATTTAACACCTTCCACAGAGATGACAAAACAGAAAAGACAGCAGGTGAGGAAATATGAGCTACAGCATGGGCTGGAAAAAAAGAAGGCATCAAAAACACCTGATCGGAGCAGGGGAGCAAAACTAGACTACAATATCCTGTGAAAGAAGAGTTGTGGGACTTAAATAGGTCAAAAACAATACAGACATGTTTATGGGCAGCAATAAAAACAGTTAAAGAATATCAGAATAACCCAGACACTAAACAACAGTTAATGGTTTCTGTAAGAGCAATAGGACTAAAATGTATAGATCTAGACCTTTGTTAGATAGAGAATAGCCATTGACAGCCATATTTTTTTCTGATTCATCTAACATGCATTAAGGATGCATAGTAAATCACAAGTATACACTATTTAGAATGATTTTTACAATATTGAGGAGAAGAACTGTTTTGGATGAAATAATTACAATAAGGTTTGTAAATCATTAAATTTCTGAAGAAAACAGATGCAAACACCAGAACATATGATGGTTCCCATGCAATAAAACAGAGAGAGAGAGTTTTGGCTAGAATATCCTTATTTATAAACTCAAAAGTACATTGAATTCATTATATCTTTATTAAAATAAAAACATAGGGATGCAGCAAATCAATAAACCAATGATCAGCTAGATGTATTAATCAGACCTGTTTGATAATCAGTAGATAAAAGAAAATTCAAAAGGGATCTACCAACAGTTTTAGCCTCATATTCCCTTGGTTTTTTATTATTTTTTAATAAAGACACTGATTCAAATTTGGGGGATAATGTTTTGATCCATTCATGGTGAGAGTATTTTTTTACTCCTCATATTGTGTTGGATTTAAAGTTTGGTTGTTTGGATTAAAAGTGTACTAGAATACATTTTTTTATGACTTTAAAATCTTTTTTCTATTGAAAATATTTGGGAAATAGAAGAGGAAAATAAAAACATAATCTTAGGAGTCTTAAAATTGTGACTATGCAGATTATTCTGTTCCTTAACTGACTGACTGCTAAGATTAATATGAGTGGGTGACATTAGGCTTAATCATTAGTATTTAAGCACATAGTACAAAAAATTTCAGTTTGTTTTCTTCACCTCCGGGTCTGGATCCTAGGGAAGAGGATTACTGAATTACGACTGAAAAAAAAAAAAAAAAAAAGTGAACTAATTTTAAAATTTTATTTCAGCACAATGTGAGAAAAAAATCAGAATTCTGACTTTTTTCTCAGAATTCCGACTTAAATCTCAAAACTTTGGATCATAATACAGATGGGTACCATGAAGGAAGAGATGCGGGAGCACTCAGCTTCACTGACAAAGGTGTGAGTTTTGTTTGAGAAGGCCGGTAACACATTGGGGAAAAATTACGGAATTAGGCGGCTTTTTACGTGATGCTACTTAACACAAAGATGCAATTTAATTAATGGAAGGGCAGAAGATGATTAAAACAAGAGAGCTAGTTTAGTCTTTGAAACAGACATGGGTACGGCTTGATGCTAACATGTTTGTTAGCTGTCAGAATACAGTCAGAATTCTTAGATTATAGTAAGAATTCTGAGAAAAAAAGTTGGAATTCTGAGATTAAAGTCAGAATTCTAAGAAAAAGTGTAAGAATTCTGAGAATAAAGTCAGAATTCTAAGAAAAAAAGTAAGAATTCTGAGATTAAAGTCGGAATTCTGAGATTATAGTCAGAATTCTGATTAAAGGTTATAGTCAGAATTCTGAGAAAGAAGAAGGAATTCTGAGGTTATAGTCAGAATTCTGAGATTAAACTCAGAATTCTGAGATTAAAGTTGAAATTCTGAGATTAAAGTTGGAATTCTGAGATTAAAGTCGGAATTCTGAGATTAAAGTCGAAATTCTGAGACAAAAGTCGGAATTCTGAGGTTATAGTCAGAATTCTGAGAAAAAAGTCGGAATTCTGAGATTAAAGTCAGAATTCTGAGATTAAAGTCAAAATTCTGAGATTAAAGTCGAAATTCTGAGATTAAAGTCGAAATACTTAGACAAAGGTCGGAATTCTGAGGTTATAGTCAGAATTCTGAGAACAAAGTTGGAATTCTGAGATTAAAGTCAGCATTCTAAGAAAAAAAGTAAGAATTCTGAGATTAAAGTCAGAATTCTAAGAAAAAAAGTAAGAATTTTGAGGTTATAGTCAGAATTCGGATTAAAGTCGAAATTCTGAGATTAAAGTCGAAATTCTGAGATTAAAGTCGAAATTCTGAGATCAAAGTTGAAATTCTGAGATCAAAGTCGAAATTCTGAGACAAAAGTCGGAATTCTGAGGTTATAGTCAGAATTCTTGAGAAAAAAGACGGAATTCTGAGGTTATAGTCAGAATTCTGAGATTAAAGTTGAAATTCTGAGATTAAAGTTGGAATTCTGAGGTTATAGTCAGAATTCTGAGATTAAAGTCAGAATTCTGAGATTAAAGTTGAAATTCTGAGATTAAAGTTGGAATTCTGAGGTTATAGTCAGAATTCTGAGATTAAAGTCGAAATACTTAGACAAAAGTCGGAATTCTGAGGTTATAGTCAGAATTCTGAAAAAAAAGTTGGAATTCTGAGATTAAAGTCAGAATTCTGAGATTAAAGTCGAAATTCTGAGATTAAAGTCGAAATACTTAGACAAAGGTCGGAATTCTGAGGTTATAGTCAGAATTCTGAGAACAAAGTTGGAATTCTGAGATTAAAGTCAGCATTCTAAGAAAAAAAGTAAGAATTCTGAGATTAAAGTCAGAATTCTAAGAAAAAAAGTAAGAATTCTGAGATTATAGTCAGAATTCTGATTAAAGTCGAAATTCTGAGATTAAAGTGGAAATTCTGAGATTAAAGTCGAAATTCTGAGATCAAAGTTGAAATTCTGAGATCAAAGTCGAAATTCTGAGACAAAAGTCGGAATTCTGAGGTTATAGTCAGAATTCTGAGAAAGAAGATGGAATTCTGAGGTTATAGTCAGAATTCTGAGATTAAAGTCAGAATTCTGAGATTAAAGTTGAAATTCTGAGATTAAAGTTGGAATTCTGAGGTTATAGTCAGAATTCTGAGATTAAAGTCAGAATTCTGAGATTAAAGTTGAAATTCTGAGATTAAAGTTGGAATTCTGAGGTTATAGTCAGAATTCTGAGATTAAAGTAGAAATACTTAGACAAAAGTCGGAATTCTGAGGTTATAGTCAGAATTCTGAGAAAAAAGACGGAATTCTGAGGTTATAGTCAGAATTCTGAGAAAAAAGTTGGAATTCTGAGATTAAAGTCAGAATTCTGTTAAAAGTCAGAATTCTGAGAAAAAGGTCAGGATTCTGACTTTTTTCCCCCCATATTATACTGAAATAAAATTTAAAAACCAGTTAACTTTTTTTCTATATTTTCACTGGCCCTAATCCTCTTCCGTAGGATCCGGCTTCCTTAAGGGACAGAAATAGAAGAGCTGCAGGCAGCAACCAGCCAGCTCCTAACCGCTCATCATCGGGCTAACTGGATACTTTCCCTGCATAAATAAAGACCAGAGAAGATGCCCAGTTATTGTCACTCACCTGAAGCGTGGGGAGTCTTTCAGACATTCCTCAAATTCTACGGTTATTTTCATGTTTCTCCGCAGTGCAGAGAGCCCGCAGCCCGGCTCTGTTTGGGGTTAAAAACAGTAATCCAAGCCCGGTGCTCCTGGCTAATTAGCTTGGTCGCTAACGCTTCTGCGTTCGACCAGCTGGCTCCACTCGGTCACCGCTCCGCTTAGCCAGCTAGCCTCCGAGGCCAGCAGCTACCAGAAAGAAGTGGACGAAAGGCGCTCATAAATAACTCTTTTTTTGTGTGTGTGTGAGTCCGCCAAAAACAAAACTCGTCAGTAAACTGTCCCAAAGGCAGAGGTCAGCAGGAGAAACGGAAAGCGGCGTCCAGTAGCTCTATCATAGCGTCAGCGGGAGAGGAGCTTTCCTCCACCAACTGATCCTCACACAAAGATCGTCTAAATAGAGAGAGGGTTTATTCCCCACAGAAAACCAACCGGACGCCCTATTTACAAAATATGTCATACTTTCACAATATGGATGTTTTGGGACAATTTCAGAATTATTATAATTTTTTTAACCAATTGATTATTTAGTAATATATAGCTATACATATTTAAAACATTCGGGAAATTATTCAGTACTCGTTTTTTTTTTACCATAGGCATAAGAACAGCTCAAAAATTAAACACATTTAAAAGCATGACAAAAATCACTGTTTTTAATCACAGTTTAATAAATAAATAACCCAAATATAACAAAATGTGTTATTTTTTTGGTTGGTCGATGTATTATTCTTTTAAAGTGTAAACAATCCAGAAGTCTAAAAGTAACACCGGCAGACATTTGCAAACAATACTTGTATTTAGTATTAGTACCATGCCACATTATTATTGTATCCGTATACCGGAGTATCAACACTTCTAACAACCCTATTTTATCTTACTATCTGAATAAAATAGCGCGTGCTATGTTAAGGGACAGAACATAAATTTAAAAATGAGTAAAAGGTCTGCCTTTAAATACACAATCTTTGCGCCCGTTGACAGGAGCTTCCTTCTCAAGAATTATCCAGGACCCCGTTTCCAGATTACTATCAATGTGATAACTGTCTGAATCTTTGTGATTCTGTGCAGATCTAAATGACCTTTTAGACATTTTAACGAAAGCTAAATAACAGAACGCCTTTCTTTTCTTGTTAAAGAGCACGCTTTCGACCAAAGATCAGCCTCAGGTCTGATTCCATTACTCACTGGAAAACCTATGGGAATGAAACAATGGCAAACAGCGCCATCTGGTGGTAAAAGAAAAGATAGACGGTGTTATAATGGAAATATACTTCAGTTTGTCCATTAAAATGATGGTTTCTGCACGGTTTTTATTTCTAATAAATAATGCAACATCTTCAGAAAATCTACATATACATATATATTAATAAATGGGTTTAGGGTGTTTAGTTTCATGACAATACATGGATTGCCAAGTTCTTTAGTCACAAATTCAAAACATTTATATTCTTCACAAGCCAGCCTCCAAAGCAAACAAATAACACACAACAAAGTTTCTAACAATGTTTTTTTTAATGATGAGGGAAAACAGTGAACACAAAATGATGAAAAACACGCAGACAGGAAAAAATAACCAGCTATGATGAGACCGTTTTTAGACGGACACACACCAATCAGTCGGTCAAAGATTTGAATCAGATATAAATGCGTTTTAAATAGGGAATTCCACAAGGTTCGGACCAAATATGTGAAAACAAACATCAGGTACTTGCATTATTGCATTAAAGGTTCAAGGCATTATCTTAGATAAATAGATTGGAAAATTCTGCTAAATTCTTATCATATTCAAACTTTTTTTTTTTTTCCGTTTAGAACCCACAGCATAGTTTTCCATCTTTGCATAACAATCACTAAGGGAAGAGGAAAAAAAAGAAAATCATAAAAGGTCAAATTTAATAGAAAACCGGAAATTGTAATTGGCCAGAAAAAGATCTGATTGGTGCATCCCCAATGCAACAAGCTGCTTTAACATCTATCCACGTAAAAAACAAAACAAAGCAAAGACAGGGCAGAATATCGAAGAAAATAAAAAGAAGTAAAATACGCAAAAAATATAAATGGAGGTTGTTCACTTATAACACACGTATAAGTAGTCATTAGAGGCACATTAGTCAGGTAACATCCACCTACAAGATGATCCCCATCGCTTGTGTTTCTGTCAAAAATAAGAATCATCCCAGCATCAAAGGGCTCTCGTCGTGTTCATGTTTACTCATAATCTAAACAGTAATGTCAAATATCTCTAAAGAAATTCCTGCTTGTTGATTTACTTTTTTTTTTAATGCAGAGACTTTGGCAGGAGTCCTACCATTATCTGGGACCTACTGTATTTGGGTTAAAGGACGACAGGAAATGAAAGAGATAAGACATACCTATGATTTCTGCATGCTTCTGTTCCATACACTCTGTTCGAGTGAATTCACAGTGAATGCAGCAACCAGGTCCGAGTCACCACGAATGACTGGTTTTTCCTTTTAAGACTAAAGCAGGAACAAGCCCGACGAGTGGCTGTCCCTCAAAAGCAAACGTCCTTAAAGCACCTCCAATAAGCTGTTGTGGTTTAACTCCGCCTCCGACGGGAGTCGGTAGCATTACAAACGTGACGATCCTAAGCAGAGTCATGCAAACATCAGAAATAAAAGAAAAAAATGTCACATTATTCTGACTTTCCTTCAAATGCAGCCCTCATATGAGATCGATCAGCAGCTCTCCTCTACGGTCCTCCTTGTGATCTTTAAATTAAAATAAAAATACTGAAGAAACACGTTAAACTGACCAGCTCGTCCGGTCTTAGTCTTTAAAAAATTTATCTTGAAAGGATGAAAAATAATTCCAGTGAACAAACAATGTACCTAAAGATATTCAGATCTGTGACAAACGCATGTAAACCTGAACTGAGGCTGTGCACGATACTTCCTTACAACAAAAACATTGTTTTTAAAGATGAGTTTGAAAATGAAAGGATCAAGAAACTTAGTGAGTCAAATCTTGTTTGTTAGATGCCTAATACTTGGATAATACAATTTAGAGTAATATGTTGCCCAAACTATTAATCATAACATGCCGATATTTTGTTACGGAAGCAGTTTCAGCTATTCTTCGAGACATAAACTGACGGTGCAGCAGTGTGATCGGTCACAAAGGAAAACAGGGAAAGGTATCAGAGCGGATGAAACAGCAGCTGCCTTTCCCCAGGCTTCCTCCACAACTAACATGATGTTTCAGCCAGAATAAGCTCCAGCTTATATAAAGTTCATTCTTAGTTTTTAAAAGGCCTTGATCCTCCTTTTAGGGTCTGATTACTTCAGTCCAGCAGAGGTGTGAGGAGAGCATTCTTGGCAACAGGAGATGGAGGGGAGACAAGCAACAGTCTTCACATGTTGAAATTATTCCTGCAGCTGAACCATTTTTCTTATTTAAAAAAAAAGAACTATTGCACAGTTTTTTTGGAATGGTGGAGACGAAGAAGAGACCAGTAATTTTATTGGCTGTTGGGAGATGTTACACAGGCGGTGAAGCGGTGTTTGCTGCATGTCACGACTTTCAGTCCCAGATGCGATCGAATACGTCTCACTGCATCTTGATCTGAAGGTAGGAGGCGTCCTCTATGACTCCAGGGAATCAGCTGGAGGAGAGTCAGACGGGAAGAAACAAAACAACAGATGTTTGATTTAGAAATATCCAAGCATAACCTTACACTAGGGTTCCTAAAGCATAATGCAAGTTAAATTCAAGACTTTTTAAGACCTTGTAATGCCATTTGAAATAAAAATTCACAAGAAACAAGAAAAACCCGCTTGCGACAACTTAACCCAAAGGTTTATTTTAACTTAAGCCACTGCACTAATTTTTATTTTGAAAAGCTTCCCATACAGGAAGAAAGCTAAAAACGCACAAATGACAGATATACACTCACCGGCCACTTTATTAGGTACACCTGTCCAACTGCTCGTTAACACTTAATTTCTAAGCAGCCAATCACATGGCGGCAACTCAGTGCATTTAGGCATGTAGACATGGTCAGGACAATCTCCTGCAGTTCAAGCCGAGCATCAGTATGGGGAAGAAAGGTGATTTGAGTGACTTTGAACGTGGCATGATTGTTGGTGCCAGAAGGGCTGGTCTGAGTATTTCAGAAACTGCTGATCTACTGGGATTTTCACGCACAACCATCTCTAGGGTTTACAGAGAATGGTCCGAAAAAGAAAAAACATCCAGTGAGCGGCAGTTCTGTGGGCGGAAATGCCTTGTTGATGCCAGAGGTCAGAGGAGAATGGCCAGACTGGTTGGAGCTGATAGAAGGGCAACAGTGACTCAAATAACCACCCGTTACAACCAAGGTGGGCAGAAGGGCATCTCTGAACGCACAGTACGTCGAACTTTGAGGCAGATGGGCTACAGCAGCAGAAGACCACACCGGGTGCCACTCCTTTCAGCTAAGAACAGGAAACTGAGGCTACAATTTGCACAAGCTCATCGAAATTGGACAATAGAAGACTGGAAAAACGTTGCCAGGTCTGATGAGTCTCGATTTCTGCTGCGACATTCGGATGGCAGGGTCAGAATTTGGCGTCTACAACATGAAAGCATGGATCCATCCTGCCTTGTATCAACGGTTCAGGCTGGTGGTGGTGGTGTCATGGTGTGGGGAATCTTTTCTTGGCCCTCTTTGGGCCCCTTGGTACCAATTGAGCATCTTGCAACGCCACAGCCTACCTGAGTATTGTTGCTGACCATGTCCATCCCTTTATGACCACAATGTACCCAACTTCTGATGGCTACTTTCAGCAGGATAATGCGCCATGTCATAAAGCTGGAATCATCTCAGACTGGTTTCTTGAACATGACAATGAGTTCACTGTACTCAAATGGCCTCCACAGTCACCAGATCTCAATCCAATAGAGCATCTTTGGGATGTGGTGGAACGGGAGATTCGCATCATGGATGTGCAGCCGACAAATCTGCGGCAACTGTGTGATGCCATCATGTCAATATGGACCAAACTCCCTGAGGAATGCGTCCAGCACCTTGTTGAATCTATGCCATGAAGAATTGAGGCAGTTCTGAAGGCAAAAGGGGGTCCAACCCGTTACTAGCATGGGGTACCTAATAAAGTGGCCGGTGAGTGTATTTTAACAATTATTTAACTGAATTCACAAACTTTGTTTTAGCAGGAAACAAAACAAATCAGTTTTAAAGCCACAACATAACCAAGTCTTTTTTGCATATTTTTTTCTTTGTACCATTTTCTTAGTATGTTTGATTTGGTGATAAGTGGAGGCGTTGCAGAGACAAGGGTGGAACTAAACTGAGAAATACTGAAAAATACCGGCTGTTTAAAAAATTAAGACCTACGAAAGACTGATTTAAGACATTTTAATACCAATTAAGGCCTTTGTTTTATTTTGAAGAATTCAATGCCTTTTAAGACTTTTTAAGGACCCGCAGGAACCCTGTTCAACAGAAGCAACACAGAGGCCGTTTCTCTATATGTGTACTCGGTAGGGCTGGGTAAAAAAAAAAAAAATCGATTTAATCGATTTTGAATCGATTCCTTTACATTTTTGCAAAATCGATGTCTAGGGAATAAGATCGATTAGTACATGACATTCATATTCAAATGAGCAGGAAAGATGCACTAAAGATGACTTCAAGCCAGACAGCCTACAAATATACCTAATAGGTTGAATGAAGACATTCACAAATGGGGGCTGACCAGAAAACACCCTGTAGTTGTTAAAGACAACGCTGCAAATGTGGTTTGTGCAGTGGAGATAATGCAGCTCATGCATGTCTGAGTGAGTGAGGCTTCACTTTTTCACTTTTCACAAACAAGTTTACACTTATGAGACCGTCTGATTTACAAGTTTGCATTTTGTGTTTAATATGACAGGAAAAAATAAAATACATAAGTATTTTGAAACACATGAACCACTTTCATTATGGTAAATACAGATCGAATCGAAATTAATCGATTTAGAACTTTATTAATCAAAATCGAATCGATTCAGGACTTTGGCAAAAGTACGCAGCCCTAGTACTCGGCGTTTTCATGTGCTCATGTATCCGATCCGCCCCGGATGCATGATCCATCCTGCGCTTGCGCCAACAGATATACATCGGGGTGTCCATAAATACTGTAATTATGGTACTAAAACTACTACTACTGCTACTTATTTATATCCTTTACTCACTAAAGAATGCTAATACACATATTTAAAAATGTTTTATGACTTTTGTGAGACAAATTTTATGCTTTTTACATTTTCTTCGTTAAACTGCTTCTCTGACGTCATCACCAGACATGCTCAGAGGAGTCCAGCAGAATATTATTAAACCATGTTTATCTGCATTTTAATAGTTTCTTTCTTTAGATTAAGCACTATATAGCATAGATTAAAGTGAAACGAATACATAAAACTAAAAAAAGACGAAAAAGTTTGCTAGCAGAAGTAGTGTAGGATCCCATTTCCGGTGCAGATCGGGCAGAGATAACTGATAAAACAGAAAGGATTTTAAGGCATTTCTTTTCTCAGGAAATACATTATTAACATTTAACACATTATATTTTTGTACGTTTACATTTTTGAGGAAGGAAAACGTCATTTAGGGCTTTTTGACAAAATAAAATCGAGGATCGCTCAGATGAATATCTGGATGCGCAAATGAGCTGGCGGATCAGGTAGTGAAACCCAGCATGCATCAGAGCAGACAGCTGTCCCAGCATGCACTGCTACAGCAGCAGCTTTCAATGGAGCGCTCCATTGAAAGTTAAAAGTTCTCTTTTCTGTTGCTGTTGTTCAATAAAAGTAGGTTTTAAGATCATTTGAGGCGAGAATATTATACTTTAAAGAGTCACTATATGGTCCATTTACCATTTATTTAATGCGTAATTAAAAAACTATTTCCGAAGTTGAGAGGACCGCTGCAACCGATGCTAACGGCAGCCCGTCTGCAGCAGCCCTCTCTCGCCATAACCGTGTGTGAAGTATTGCTGGCTCTGATGGCGATTTTTTTTGTTTTATTGGGCAAAATGTTCATTTGATTTGTGTTTATCTGACTGTGTTAATTATTATTCCCCCACCAAAATTAAAAAACAAATAATTTATTATTATCTAGAGACAGGAGGTGAAATACAGCTCTAGACGAGCTGAGCGTGTGGTGACGTCACGAGTAAGCTTCTCTGCCAATTGACCCATATTTATGCTGTGTGCTCCTGTCTCACCAAGTCCAGACTTCCCTGTGTTCATCTCAAGAACAGACTTGGCGAGGACACCAGTCCGTACTGACGTTCTAGTGAATTGAAAAATGGCCAGGGATTCAAACATTTCTACATCTTCGCTGATCACGCCTCACTGTAGTCCTGCCGATAATGAGTTACTGCTCTAATGCTCCACTGTGTCACAGTACGATCCATGAGGAGGAATAAACAGACCGTGATGAGATCTACGCTAATGATAATGAGCCAAACCATTAGGTCTGATGATTTGAAACATGGTCCCTTGTGTCCCCCTCTTACCTTTCTGTGGCGGGTCTACGCTGATCTCCTCCGTCTCCTCCCTTAGGTCCTCTGTGTCATCCCTCATCTCTTCATCCTCATCCTCCTCTTCCTCTTCTTCTAACTCATTGGCAATGAGCTGGCGAGCCAGTTTTATGTTCATACCCTCGTTATAATGCATCTTCCTCATCATCTGAAATTGCTTCTTTTTGGCTAAAAAACAAAAAAAAATATTTTCACATTTAATCATCAGGAACTTTAACACATTTAAAAAGCTCACTTCCTAAAGAAGCTGCTTGCATTGGATTCATATTTGAGGTATCAGAGTAAGAATGGGATGGATGTGGAGCTTATTGATGGGAGTTTTGAAAGGATGTCTTGACTTCAGTTTTTATTCCTATATTGCCCCCTTTTTTTATTCTCTACCCTAATATAAAGGGCTTTGTATATTTTTGGAACGAGACAAATGCAGGTTTAAATGGTGAATGCATGAGTTGAATGTAAGTGTGTATAAGTACATGTTGCAATTTAAGTTCGTTGTCTGTAAGTTTTGTTGTATCAAAAAAAGAGAAACTTCAATAAAATATATTGGAGGGAAAAAAAGAAGGGGATGGATAAAATTCCAATACAGACTAAAAAATCTCTACAAAGGCAGCAGCATATGAAGGAACCTCCCAACAGCTCCAAGCCATTACTAATCCATTAATTATGATTGCTTCAAATTCTTTATGGATTGTGAAACCGCCAGGAAACAAAATACAGTGAAAGAACTTGAATAAATAACATTAAAAGCATTTTAGACTGCTAATGAGGATGCGCTAAGCAAACAGTAAAGACAGCTGGGCTGCAGCATCTGTTTCCATGCATTTAAACATTGCATGCATTTATTTAGAGCTGAAAAAATGTATCAGATTAATTGGGATTAATTAATGAAATAATCATCAACTAATTTAGTAATCGATTAATCATTATCTGGAATATAGAGACTGTAGAACATGACTGACAGAGCAACCCAATTAGAGCAGTAATTATATCAAAATTGAAAAAAATATATAAATACAATACTTAATATAAAAAAAAAAACATTTTTGTCTGTCAATATGCTCTATCCAGAACTCCTCAAGTAGAAAAGTTTGAGTTTCACCTGGTTCAATTAATTAATTAATTAATTAATTAATTTTTTCGTTTTTTGGGGCCCTAGTGGCTCGTTTTTTTGACAGTAGGCTGACAGGAAAGGGGGAGAGACATGCAGCAAAGGACCACAGGTTGGATTTGAACCTGGGTCTGCCGCGTCGAGGACTAAGGCCTCCGTACATGGGCCGTGCGCGCTAACCGCTGCGTCATCTGCACGCCCACCTGGTTAAATTTAGTAAATAAATATATTCTTTAAGGATTATTAATTGGTTAATTAACTTGCAAAATAATCGTTAGTTGCAGCCCTAGATTTATTGTTACAACAATTTATACGGTTCCAAGTAATTTTCTTCTTGTTTGAACTCCTCCTTTTCTTCCTGGCGTCTTTATAAGAGACTCAATCAAATCAATACATGTGAAACTATTATCAGATAAAATGACAGGCTCATATAAAAACAACTATTTGTTTCTGTGCTTTGGTTGTTTAAGTACAAACAGAAATAAAAACAGAACCCAGCGGTCCAAAGACGGCAGCATGTTTAATTTCTAATGCTCTTAACTATAGAAAAAAACCTTCCTCCATCAAAGTTAAACCTCTCAGAGATCAAGAAAATCTTCAGCTTAGTTTCAGTCCCAGCCTACTGCCTGTTGGAGGACGGTCACAGGCCCCGCAGCCCCTCTCTGCTGGGTCCAGATTCTGCTGGTTTTATGTGGACTCTAATGAAGGTGAATTACCTGCGCAGCAAGTCTGTTTTGGTAACAAACTAGACGCTGAATAAATTACTGTCTAAACACCAAACAAAACAAGTAGGGGTTCTTTGAGGACTCGACCAAAATAGATATTTATATAGGTCAGACAAATTGAATGCGGAAAATAGAGGAATCCAAAGCTACTGGTGTGAAGAAATCATTAAAAAGTCTGCACTTTTCTACTGCTCCAGCAGGTGGCACTAGCTGCTGCATGGATCAGCTCTGGCAGTCAGTTTGCAGATTCTCCAGTTTTTTTCCCCCAAACCCTCCTGATATTAATCTGAAACCCAGGCAAGCAGACTGAGTGGATTATCTCTATGAAATATGAAAGTGAGCGAGAACAGAGGCATTGTGACCCCCCACCCCACCCCACAGAATCAGGGACAGACGTAGTCCAACAGGCGAGGTGGTAAAATCCTGCTGACAGTCTGGATGTACGATGCCTGAGTCAGAACAAGGTCAGAAGGAGCACAGAGACCAGTGGAGGATTTCTAACAGGAGAGCTTCTTTACTGAACGGATGACCCTCACAGCTGCAGAGGACACTTTATATTAAGACTATCCTATAAATAGAAAGGTGAACTGTGGAGCTACCCTTCAAAAGGTGGAAAATGAAACCAGTACCTACACCTATGGCACCAAAGCCCAGTCTGTCAGATTACAGTCATGAACCCTAAAGTGATTTGTAGAAATATTAACTTTTTGATTGGAATTATGCATTTTATATCACGAGCCTCAAATCTGGTGGTCATGAGTGGATCCAAAGCAACTAGCTACCTGTAGGAGTTACCTTATCAGTAAACACACTACCCATGTGTAGACTTTTTCTTTTTTTAAGTGGAAAAATAGGGAGCAAATGTTTTAGCAATATCCTAAACTTTGAGCCACATAATCTAAGGCAATGTGCAACTTCCCCAGTGCACTGTACCGTCCCAGGTCATAATGGGGAAACGGCCAACACTGACAAGCAAACCCAAACACAGGCTTAAATTGAAAGGCAAGCAGAGTTATCTCAGCTTTTTCAATCCTATCCAGGAGTTTTTGTCAATTCAGTGAGATCGCACCAGAGCTTCCAATTCAACTTTCCTCAGCATAATGATGCTGAGGGGGGCAGCATGATGATGCTGAGGGGGGCAGCATGATGATGATGAGGGGGGCAACATGATGATGATGAGGGGGGCAACATGATGATGATGAGGGGGGCAACATGATGATGATGAGGGGGGCAGCATGATATTTAAAAGTAGTTGATATATAATTGAGGTATTTGAGTATTTTGGATGTGCCAAACACAAAACCACATCACATTAAATTGCCTGTCAGAAATTTTACCCTACTTTTTTTTTTTACCCTCTATATATATATATATATATATATATATATATATATATATATATATATATATATATATATATATATATATATATATATATATATATATATATATATATATATATATATATAAGTGCTGTCAAAATTATCGCGTTATTATCGCGAGGCCATTTTAATGGCGATAATTTTTTTAACGTGAGATTAACGCTATGTGGTTTTATGGTACAATTTTCCAAGTACATCCCGCTGCAGCCTGCGGGAAGGCGGGGCTATTTTCCCCCAGTCTATGCATTTCTCATAGGCTTCGAGAGCGGAGCTCCTCAAGGGAAAAAGACGCTCATACACTGGGTAGCGCGAGTGCCTTTTCTTTAAGCCCCACCACCAACAAACAAGTTGAGTGTCTGGTGACTAGTAGCAACCTGAAATACGCTGAGAAAACAGATTACTGAGGTGAAATGGAATCTGCTACGGCACTCTTGCTGTCTGTGTACGCCACAGGTCAGTATCGTGTGTGTGTGTGTGTGTGTGTGTGTGTGTGTGTGAGTGTGTGTGTTCTCATTTTTGTTAAGAGGCTGAAAAGTAACTTTCTAGAGCATAGACTACCTCCATCTAGTGATGTCGGTCTATTGATTTTGATGTATTGATTGAAAATTGTTCATTATTACCTTGGTTAATTAACATCTAATGTTAACTGTACTACATTTTATAGCAGTAGGGTAAAATGCTTGTCTTTGTTCAAAAGACTGTATTAACTGTAAAGACTGTCTTTTACATCAGCCTGTTTTCAGGGCCTTTTTTTTTGGCTACATATTTGTTATTTTTTGCTACATGCCTCCCCATCTTCTTGCCATATGTTTCTATGGCATAAATCAGTGTCTGTGACCTGTTTTCATTAAAAAAAAAGAACATTGGCACAAACCTAGCCTGTATTTATTTTTTGTATGTCATCGAGAGTATTTAAATGATTTTCAATCAGAAAAAATATGTGTGATTAAAATGCAATTAATCGCGAGTTAACTTAGGCATTGATGCGATTAATCACGATTAAAAAAATTTAATCGATTGACAGCACTAATATATATATATATATATATATATATATATATATATATATATATATATATATATATATATATATATATATATATATATATATATATATATAGTTCTGACAGTATTGATAAAAAACAAACAGGGCGTAACCTTATGGGGAATGTGATCAATTAAAAAAGGAAACAGCACCTTGCTCTTCTGGAGTCAGCTCCTCTTCCTCCTCCTCGCTGCTTTCTTCCTCTTCCTGCATGAAGCGAGGCTCCGCCCCCTCAGCCGCCTCCAGCCTGAAGAACAAATTCACAAAAACAATAAATATCTCCTCAACAATCCCATCAATAATCTCAAGAGATCAAACTACTTCCTTCATCTTACTGTAGAAACACGCTCTAGAGCAGGACATTAGCAGGGGTACCAGTGCATTAGGAGAGAATGAAAGCAGAGTGAAGAACTGTCCGCTTTAATGACTCGAACACGGGATAAAAATAAAACCAGTTACTATTTTCACCTCCCAGCCCCACTAAAAGCATTAGACCAAATGAATAACGGCTTATGGCTGAGATGAATGTGCAGGAGTGCCTCAGGGAAGCTGCCGTCCAACCACCTGCTCAGATTGAAGACAGGACATTTTATTAGAGTTTCAAAGAACACCAATAACTGTCTGATGGGGGAATCTGGATCGAAGAGAAAGGCTAAGAAAGGGAATAAATGATAGAGGAAGCCTGAATGATGGAAGGATGTCTGGAAAAAGGAGGGAGAAGAGCAGCAGTTGGACAGCACTGTGTGACGAGCTTAGTGTGAAACAAAAGAAGACGTTCATTATAAAAGTAAACAAAGGCTGGTAATTGACTTCCAAGCCTGAGGCCGATCACTACACTCTCTGTTAACACAAACTGCCTCTCTGCGCTACAATAAGAATGCTAAAAATGCTCCTCATGCTCCCGTTAGTAAGCCCATGAAAGCTGAGACTGACAGATAAATATATTTCAACACAAATGGACCATTAGGAACTAAACTGTAAGAAATGATGAGACAAAAAGAAATCCATTTAATCTAATTTACTGGAGCGTAAATAGAGCTGTTAAATCTGGGAAACATCTGTTCTTTATTGGGCTCTGAAGGAGAAGCTTTTTGAAGAAAAAAAAGGAAAAGAAAACACTAAAAGAATACATATAAACTGTTGTAATATAGAAATGTCTGACAGAACGTGTTCAGGACCACTTCTGTCCAGCTGCTATGAATCAAAGCCATTTTCTAACGTCTCCTCCCTGGAATGCAGGGATGATGGGAAACACCCTGTTTATGGATCTGAACGTGTTTTTGGTAATGCAGAAACAGAAAAATGTGCAAAAAGAAATAGGGAGCAATCACCAAAAGTATACAAGGCATTTTACATACAATACAAAAAAAAAACATGAACGTATGAAAGCTATGGATGACAGCGGTTCCCCTTAAGGCTGCGCAATAAATCAATATCAATCTATATCACTGAAGGAACCTGATTAATATCAATAGAAATACATCTGATAGAGTTTTCTATTTCTACTGCAGCCAGTGTTCCTGAGGATAGAAGCAGAGTTGAGGATTCAGGACTGACCTATTTTTAAAGGTTAAACAGGGTTAGGGTTACAGGCTATTTCCCCATAGTCCTTGTTGCTAATAGGTAAACATAAAACTAATCAATAATTATTTATATGAACTGATATTTCAAGCTTTTCATCGTGGTAAAATTTTCCATCACAAACAGCCCTGGTGTGTAAGAGTGAAGTTATTTTCAACAAATGTTAACAAAACTACCTAATTTTTTCCTTCTCAGCTCCCTGGTCTCTTCAGTCACCGATTCCTACACTGCAAAAAACATCTAGAAATAAGTAAAAAAAATGTCTTAAATTAAGTGTATTTACCCCTTATTTGAGAGGATCTGCCAATGGAATAGTATTTAGGAGTATTTTTACTCCTAAAACAAGATAATTAGAAAATATACACTTAAAATGAGATAAAGCAATTGTTATTTTCTTATTTTAGATGTAAATTGTCTTGTTCCATTAGCAAAATGTCTCACTTACATCCTCAATGCAAAAAAATATGCACTTAATTTGAGCAAAAATTACTTATTTAGATATCCATTTTTTGCAGTGTATATCTTTTGTTTGAGTTAATTAAAAGGCCTCATTGTCTAAACACTATTAGCTGATAATGTATCCTTTCAGATGGAGCATATCAGATGTATGAATCGAACATATTCAAAAATAGTCGTGTTTTTTTAAAGGCATAAAAAAGCGTACAGTTGGGCAGTCATTAAAAAACAAAAAAATTAACTCATCAGATTACATTACCCTGCAAACCTACTGTTGCCGACTATTATTTAAGTAATATTATTTGATCAAGGCTTTTCTAATATTCCACACTACAAAATAACTAATAAAAGTATGTATGAATTAGGGTAGCGACTAACGATTATCTTGCGAATCAAGCAATCTGGCAATTATTTTTCCGATTAATAATCGGATAGCCGAAGGTTCCTTAAATAAGTCTTTTATGAAATTAAACCAGGTGAAACTAACTTTTACACTTGAGGTGATCTGGATAGAGCATATTGAAAAGTTTTTTAATCGTAAATCCAAAAAGTTTATATATATATTTACAATCTTGGTATAATTACGGCTCTAAGCGGGTCGCACCGTCAACTAAAGGCATGTTTTAGAGCAGAGGTCACGGATTAGCGGACCAGGGTACGAGACCCAACTGGATTTAAAACATTTATAAATTACTGCATGTTGTCCGACGAAAGTGTCTAACTTCACTTTTGCCGCTTCTCTTGTTAATATGGTAAAGCCCTCCAGAGCGTCCAGCACTAGGCTGGACGTGATACAAAATTAGCCAATGAGCTGCTGTCAGTCTGGGTTGCTGCTGCTGCTACTTTTACACTGCAAAAATGATCTAAAAATAAGTAAAACTTTCTTAAATTAAGTGTATTTACCCTTAATCTGAGTAGGTAAATGAGATAATTTGCCAATGGAATGAGTATTTTTACTCTTAAAATAAGATATTTAGATAATATGCACCGGAAATAAGACAATGCAATTGTGTTTCCTTATTTTTAATGTAAATTGTATTGTTCCATTGGCAAGATGTCTTTTTTACCTCCTCAATTCAAGAACAAATGCACTAATTTTAAGAAAAAATGACTCATCTAGATTTTGATTTTTTCCAGTGTAGACACAGCAGGCAAACCTGTGGAAAGCCGAGCGATGGGAGAGAAGGAGAGGACGAAGAGAAAAAGAGAGCAGAGAAAGTGTGGACTGCTGGAAGAACTGCAGTAAACTGGTGAAAGAAAAGTGAAATGGTGCTCAAAGATGACCCTGCACATTTTGACGATGTTTGGCTCAACCTACTGCTGTAAAGCAGTATTTTTCATTATGAACATAATCAAAAATAAATATGGATCCAGGCTCAAAATGAGCACCTTGATATGTGCTTTAGAATGACTTAGTCTGACTTAGTCTCCATTCAAACCCAGGTTTAAAGCCTTGCAGGGCAGCATAAAGCCCACTGAGAACATTAAGCCATGAAAAAAAAAGGAAAACAAAACAAAAGATCAGTTCAGGTGTTTTATAAAATATGTGAATCAGTAAACTGTCTATATACCAAACTGAACGATTCTTGTTCTCTACTTAAAAAAACACTTTGAATTTTAAAATGAAAATATTTGATTTTCATTTTCATTTAAAAATTCAATGTAAAACATGGAAACATAAACACCTTGATTTATTTCAGTGTTAAATTATGTTTAAAGTAACAATAAATAAATAGATTAAACAGATTAAATTAAAAATGTCTCCGGATCTTTAGTGGTTGATGATTTTCTTTATTCGGATCCCGCTGATTTTTAATTGGTTGCCCGTTTTAGAGCCTCTAAACTCCAGTTAACGATTAATCAGTTACTAAATTAGTTGATCATTGTTTCAGCAATCAATTTATCCTGATTAATCTGATTGTTTCAGCCATAATATGAATCTTGCTGACATCATAACAGATCAATACGCAGAGCAGCCGTATCACTATCCCGAATGAAAAAGTTGTTAAAACCTATGCTAATATTTCATCACTTTACACAGGGTGACTAAAACTTTAAATACTCTAAAAAACATTGAAAGGAAGCTCCCTATTGCAATTGTGATATTGCACAAACTGCTATTCCAATAACAATTTGGATTTTAAATGTTGTGCAGCTCTAGTTTTGTTTTCCTTTAGGAAGTTCCTAAAGATTCTGACTTATCTTTAATTTAAGGATTTGTAAAATTGCGTGACTATGTTTTATGCAGTGTAAATGTCCATAAGTTTGATATATCAGTGACAATAATTCTTATTGATTCACAACTTCTTCATAGGCTAAGCCCATTAGTGTGTTATCAGCGTATGTGGGAATATAAACTGTTTTTTTTTTCATACTAGGACACCTTTGCAATAAAAGTCATTGAGCTGTTATACAACCGTAGCTGTTTGCTGTTTGCATCCACTCATCATTTAGGAGTTTGATTGTTTTTTTGTCTCTGTGAATTCAAATTTTAGCTCCTACTTTGAGGCCAGGTCATCAGGCTTGAGCCCACCGGCATGGCCATCTGAGTCACTGAGTGCGCCCTCATCCTCCTCATCACCAACCATCCTGTAAAAAGACAAACAAAAGGGGGACAGGGACAACCAGAGGTCATTAGGACAGATGGACAAAGGAGGACAAGTTACAAATATAAAAGAAGAGTTTCCAACTGCAAAAATCTATTTGACAAGAATTCAACTGAATTTATGAAGATAATCTGATTCGGTTCAATTCAGTTGCTGGATTTTATGGAAGCCGAGTGCAAAATTACACATCCCGAGTTTAATCCAATGCTAATAGCTGAGCGGCTCACTTAGCATGTATTCACACAGCGCTTCACTTTCTGCTTTATGTTTCGTTGCCTAATCCACATTAGATTTTCTCCTTTTTTCAGAAAAATAAAAGGTTTAAAAAAACAACAACCTGTAATTACTTTTATCAAAGCTAGAAAAAAAGGAAAACATCGTGTATGCAAGTATTGACCGCCTTTTTTCAACATTGAGCTGAAGGAGCTTTTGTAGCAGTGCACCTGTTTCTAAGCAGTCTCTACAGATCTGACTGGACCTCCTAATGGAGCCACACATTTATTATCTTGACTGCGTGGTTCGGGTAGTTTTACTTTTTCAAGATGAAGCTGTGCTCCAGATCATATTCATCTAGTTTAGCTTCTCTCCATTGGCTTCCTGTTAAACCCAGAATAGAATTTAAAATCCTCTTTCTCACATATAAAGCCCTAAATAACCAAGCTCCACCTTATGTCAGAGATCCGATTTTGCCTCGTGTTCCTAACAGAGCACTTTACTCTCAATCTGCAGGTTTACTGGTGGTTCCTAGAATTTCTTCAAGCAGAATGATCTTTTAGTTATCAGAGACCCTTGTCTACTTTAGTAAAGCGTATAGAGTGCCTCAGGTTATGCTGCTATAGACTTAGGCTGCTGGAGGACATTGGGACCACTTAACATCATTCTATCTTTATTTTCTCTCCACTGTTGAAGATGTGGTGTGACAGATTACTGCAAATTCAACAACACAATGCAAGCTAAGGTCTACTGTCGCCTCATGCTAATCCAGCACAGTCAATAACAGAGTGCAATCAGCTGGTTGACATGAACAAACGCTATATAAATTAACTAAATTGAATGAAATCCAGTTGAAGGTATCGAGAGCTCTGGAGCTATTTATCCTTATGAGGTTACAGCCTTATTCCTCTCAACTCTGCTCTCAGTTGTTGCAGTAAAAAGCCTGATCAGTAAAGTGCTGATTGTCCCTGTGGAAGTTTTCCTTCACCCCATAAAGCAACAGGGGAGCTCTAGTGGCATTTCCACCACAGAAACAATTGTAGGATCTCCATTTCTGGGTTCTTAAACTTTACATAGACAGGGGTGTGCCTTTATACTGTGAATCAGCAAAAAACATCAAACAAACGTTTTCTTTTAGCCCATTATGAGGTTTCTATGTGTGTAGAATTATTCAAATGTGGAAAATATCCCAGATACGCTGCATTTATACTATCCCCTCCACTTCAATATATTCTTCAAAATCACCAAAAGAGGAGATATAAAACAGTGAAATATGTAATTAATGTTAACACAAAAAAAATGTTTTAAAACTTGTTTAAATCAGGTGAATATTTTCTGTATTTCATCTGAGCCCTTTAACCTGTTATAAGGTGTGCTGGGTTCATCAATCTTCATCAGGCCGTAGTCTTTGTCCGGAGGATGGTATGTCGCCAGGATATTCATCTCATCCCATTTGGCCGATTTCTTCCTGTAAAGAGATTAAAGAAGAGGAAACAGAGGATGACATCGATACACAGAAACCTAAGGGACGAGAAGGTCCTGATGTAATCTAGAGCAGAACGCGGCCCAGTTTTGAATCAAACTGCACACATTTAGGAACACATGGATAAAAGCCCAGATATGTCACTAGCTAAACAATTATTCAACAATCTTTATTTTTCTTCCTTTATCAAATGTGAGACTTTTTTTTATTTACACTGTTGCTATAGTATTTTAAGTTGGACATTTTTCTGTTTTTGTTTTTTTACACAAATATAAATTCAAAAGCAAGTGGCAATGAATTTTTTTATGGGTCAGGAAAACATCTCAGCTAGTACAATTCCCTTCAAATCATTCAAGGAAAAAAACAGGAAAGCGATGGGGGACGGGAGAAGGATGCTAAATCTTCCACCGCCTGCTGCCAGGAAGCCTTGAATAAACCTCCTCTCAGCATCAGAGCTGATCCGTTCAGAGTAAATAGAGTTAACATGCTGCAAACTGCTGCTCAAGAAGGAGCTTCAACAAAGAATGTTTTCCTCCTTACGTTTCACATTTCAGCTTAATGAGCAGCTCAGTTTTGTCACTACATGCTCAACAGCTTAGCGCAAGAGCCACAAAACATCTGGTTAGATATATAAAAAAAAAAAAAAAAAGATGCATCAGCAAATCAACCAGAGGAAAACGCGTTTGTTTCTGAGAACATTGCAAGAAAATGTAGTTGTTTTATTTATTCAAAAATCAAACATGTTAAGCTGGAATTGTTGAGTGTTAACCTGTCAAAATGGAAAAGGTCAATCCTGGTCTCGATTCCATTACTATGAGGAAGCAGGAAAAACATCAGAAACGATGATTTTTCCGTTTTAAAGCGTTTACAAATAATAACTCAGAATGCATCAACATTACACTGGTAAAATATTTACCAATATAAACACGTTAGACATCGTTGGAAAGCTTAGATTCTCCTCAATTCAACCACAAAGTTAATTTTATGGACACATCAAGAACAAAAGCACAATTTACACAGATATAGCAGCATGTCTTCATTACTGCTATTCAAAAAAGAGCTATTATTTTTCGAACATAAAAAAACAAAAGAACTTTAAGTCTTGTTTGAACTGATGCAGGTTGGGTGTTTTACTCACCCAATTTTCATGTATATATTCAGAAACTAGGGGGTGCCAGCTTTCAAATTAGGTATTGCACATGTAATTTGGGCTTACAGTTCCTAAGTTATTTGCTTTTCCATTTGGGTATGCAAAATAGGCGAGAATTTCCCAAAATGAGGTGGATGTTAAGAGGTTAAAGAACTTAAATGACAGTTTGATGCAATCATAAACCAATTAGTCTTTAGATCAATTTGCATATTTCAGTCAAATTTAGATCTCTAAATTAAATGGTGGGGGCGTAAAAAATTTTTTATTGACATATATTCCTCTTCCAATTAGCTTTTAAATGAATAAGAGTTATCCATCAGAACGACTGAAAGATAATGAAGGAGCACCTGCATCTGCCAGATAAAAAAACAATATCCACCAACTCCTTGATGGCACTAAAAATAGACCTCGCTCTCTTACGCAGTGAGGTCTACCTCTCCAGGGCGGTCAACAGCTGGCGACATCACACCGCAGGGAAACTCATTAAACAGAGTGAGTCCGCTCTGAGAGCTGAGCTGCACTATCAGGTAGCTCCGTCAACGTACGGCGAGGAAAGTTCAAGCCCTGAGTCTCCGCACAAAAACACAACACGCGCCTTTTGCTTTGAGAGGCGCAAAAATCCGCTCCTTCCAAATACAGCATGCAGCCAGGAGACAATTGGTGTCAGCATGAGCCGGAGGGAAAAGCTCATCAATTTCACATCGGAGCCTCGGATCTCACAGCGAGGCGCAGATCTCATCAAATATGAACAGTTTCCTGGTGTGCTGTAAATATTTAAAGAAGCCAAATCTTCTGACAGACTGGCAATTAAGTCTAGAAAATAATAAAGTCTAGATTTTAATTATGTTTCACAGTAGACACGTACATATGTTTAAGGTATGTGTGGCTTTTTGAAGGAGTAGGTCTAAGAAATTTTTTTTTTTAAAGTCTATATTAAAGTCTCCTTTTTAGAAACATTCTGCTCCAGTTTCCTTTCTCAGCCAAAAAAAAAAAAAAAACTAGGTTCCCAATGTTGGATAACTTTTTCAAAGTAAGCTGTAACCTTAAACTTTTCTCAGATTATGAAAATCAGAATCACTGTCAGTGCAAAAGCTCACCACAGAGAAAGGAGAGATTCAGGTTTCATGGAGCCAACCATTAAATATGCATTACTACGTGTGAGGCCTACAGTTCACCATTAACTACCTGAATAAGAGCAGATACCAGGAGAGCTGACATGTTTAATCCACAGAACACAGATAAAGCCCGACTTTGGCCTGACCGGCTAAAGCAAGAACATTGCATCGATAGAATGTCTTTGGCTACGTTTACACTGTGATTTTCTAGCGTTGCTGTTCACATTTTCAACATCTCCTGTGTCAACTGCATTCATACAACCCAAGTGTCCCGCATGCGCAGTAGAGGATGCAATGACGTCACAAGCAAGCGTGCTCTGTGTTTACGGAAGTAAACATGGATGGTAGCGCTGGAGAACATCTAGCGATCTTTCCCAACCTTAACAACTCAATCTTTCCAAGATGGTTAAATATAAATACTGCTCTCCGCATTATCATCCACCATTGTTGTTTTTCTTGCCACTTCTGTGTGGCAAGAAGCAGAAGAGTGACCACTGTAGGGTATTAATGGCGTTCAGGTCGGATGGACACAGGTCACATTTGAAAAGATCTTTTATATCGGATTCAGGGCCACATAGCCAAGTGGCCTGGGTCTCACTGGAAAAAAATCTGATCAGACTGTCATGAAATATGGGCAAAAAAATCGGATTTAGATCACTTCAGGCTGTGGTGTGAATGTAGCCTTAGAGTAGTTCATATCTGCAGAAATACCAAATGGCTACTCATCATTTCCTCAGTGATGAATATCAGGACACCCTAGTGCACAGCTAGGAGGTCTACAGTTGGCATGAAGACCATAATGGCCCGTCCATCCAGAGATCGTTTAACCCCCCCTGTGGATGTTGCTATTGTAGCCCAGCTTCCTACCTCCCGCTGCCTTTGCATTGGTCTCTTGTTGGACATGGACTCTGTCCAGGGTTTCAGGTTTACAGCTGGGATAGTGTCCAACTACCACCCCAAAGAGGCTGACTTAGATAAAGACGTCTGGATAGTAAGTTCACCTCCAAGACCTGTTTACTTTTTTGTCAGTTTCACTGCAGCAAAATATATTAGAAGTTATTAAAAACTATGACAGTTTGGCATTTTGGATTATTGGGTTTTGTTGCCAAAAAAAAAAAAAAACCTCTGCAGTTTACTGTAATGGAAACAATCCAGATAATTAATAATTTAGGGCTTTCCCTTAAACTGATTTTATTTTAAACCTGTCCCGTAATGCAGCCAATAGTAATGATCCAAGATCAAACCAAAAAACAAGAACTGTAATTTTTAAGCAGCATCATAGCGTTGGGTTTTAGGCCACCGGGCTCCAAAAAGGAAATCTGTGGAATAAAGGAGGAGAGTGTAAACAGACAGGTGGTGAAATAAATCCCCCCTGAGTGGTGAATATCTGAAGAGGCGGTTCAGGATAAAGTCCAGGAACACAGCAGAAGGATTAATGAGAGCATTGTAAATGTTCTAAACAATTAAGAAACCAAAAGGAGAAACGGTGTCAGACTCTCAGGCAAAGCTGCACAATAAAGCATCCGCATGCAAAGCATGGAGATTTTTGGAATTAATCCTTAACTATAGAATTTAGATTGAAGACCAATGGAAGCTGGACCATAGGGAGAAAACTCATAGATAATGTATAGAGATTTTAAAGTATTATCAATCAATGTCAGGTTTACTTAATAGTATATGGCTACATGTAATATTAATTATTAAAACAACACTTCTACCAATTGATTCTCATTTAACAGAGCATTTCCACCATCAGAATGTATCATTTCTCTTCTTGGGCGCTTATTCAAATCACCCCTGAAGTGTAGCAAAATAACCAATTGTATAATAGGGGTTTAGACAGGAATGAGTAACTCTAATTTAATGGTTTTTAATGCTCTTTTAATTCTCTTAGAAATAATTTTAATGACATCAACAAGAACCCATGACTCTCAATCATATATATATATATATATATATATATATATATATATATATATATATATATATATCAATGCAGCCGTATACGCTGCATTGATTTTCTTTAGAAAATTAGAGCGTGCGGCTTGTAATCAGGTGCGCTCTATAGTCCGGAATTTAAGGTATACAATTTTAGTTCACTGTTGTTGCCCAAAACCCATTCTTTATGGCCTCAGAGGTCAGTCAGGTATTCTTTAGTTCTTGATCAGGCTGCCATAGCAGATGCATCAGGTCTCAGATAGAATTCCTGGGTTTTTTAAACCTTCTTCATCCAAACATAAAGGGTTTTAAGCCTAAAAGCTCTATCTGGTCTCTTCTGACCCTATAACCTTCTAGCAGGCCTCCTCTGGACCTTCCAGATGCTCATTAGTAAACCTCAGAGGAGCCTAGAGATGTGCTGGGTAACCTTGCACACGCTGCATGATTTTAATCCATGACGACGCACTGTGTTACCAACAGTAACCTTGGAAACCGAGGCTCTCTTCAGGTCATTGACCAGGTCCTCCAGTCTGGACGGACCCCTTCCCGTTCTAGATGCTGCATAAGAGTGGAGTCACTGACAGTCCTCCATGTGTTCCTTCATTATCCAATAACTACAGCAACAGTTGTGGCTTTCTTACCGAGCTGCTTGCCTCTTTGTAATGCAAATGTATCATTCAATAATACTAATATCTCTGTTACATCTCTTTTATCTCTGTTAATCTATCTCTGTTACAGGGATATGTACCTAAAGCTTTTAAGGTTGCTGTAATTAAACCTCT